ACCCACGCGCAATAATGTGTGCGCGTACGACCGTTGGTGGTGCAGGAGCGGACGTACCCGAAGAAGTATGAGCGTCAGCCTGGCGGTGCGGTCATCATCTCAAAGAGGGCGCCCGACGAGGCGCTGCAAAAGACAGCGGAAGCGGCACCCGGACCGGTGAGCGCCGAGAGAGCGGCGGGTGGCCGGGAGGGATAGCTGCAAACGAAAGTCGCGTTTCGTTTGCAGCTGCTCTCCCCTGTGTGTTTGTGTGCGTGTGTGCAGTCGTACGACATGTTCACGGGGCAGGGCCTCGGCTTGAGGTGAGCGGCTTTCTTTCAAACTGCTGCTCGCGTTGTGGGATCTGTATGTTCATTGATTCGTTCCTTCGTTGTGTGTAGGCCGCACATTTCCACGCCGGACCTGCACAGGATGATCCCGCGGGACCAGGCGCTGTCATTCGACAAGAGACAGTGGCACGTATGTGAGCGAGGAGGCGTACACGCGATATCTGAGGGTCTCTCTCTCTCTCTCTCTCTCTGTGTGTGTGTGTGGGTGTGCAGGAAAGCCATTTTCTGGACGATCCTGAGCGGCTGATGCGGCAGCACTTCGCCGTCAACATGAGACGCCCCGTCGTATGCGACTTCACAAAGACAAAGGTCCGCCATCCATCCATCCATCCATCGCCCGTTTATCCACCCCTTTGTCCTTTGTATCGTGTGCAGTATCGTGAGCCCATGGCCCGCACCACAGTGGACGCCGTCTACTCCATCAACCTGGACACCATTAGACCTAGGGGCGATGTGGGAGGTCAGTTGACAGGGCCAGCAGGGGAGGGAGGAGATTGCATAGACCACTCCCCGTCTCTGTCTCTCTGCCAGTGACGGATCTTCGGCGTCAGCTCAAGCGGCCCCCACTTGAAGCAGCACTCGGGAGAAGAGGTCAGACATCAAATACAAACATGTCTCGCTCCATCCTGCTCTGTGTCAGAGGCTGGTCCGGCGGTGGACCGTTCGATGGCCCGGGACTGCCGCATACAGACACACTACACAGAGTGAGTACAGCGAGCGAGGGAGGAGGGAGGAGGGAGGGGGAGAGGCCAGCACAGATGCACGTGCTGTTTACTGCTTGGCGGCATGCTATAGGCCTGTCAACATAGCGCTGGCCAAGTACACCTCCCGACCCCCACTCAACCGACAAATACTCCAGTACCAAACAGGTGCGTGAGCAGATGACCGGCCCCCTAATCCCCTTACACACGTGTACTCATTAATCAAAATCCATAGACAATGTCTCGTCAATGCCATTCGGCTCGTGCAGATGACCCGGCGGTGTACAGTGCGGTGTTGGCTCGCGAGCGCAAGCAGTACCCCGACAGCCACCTGGTCCACCCACGGTCGCACCCACCACCGGACTTCAAGCGCATGACCAACAGAGCTGCTGCGTACCAGGGCACCCGAAATGCCGTCGGGCTCCCAGCCACCTGTATGTGTGTGTGTGTATATCCTCCATCAGAGGGATGAGAGAGAGGAGAGTATGTGTGTGTGTGTGTGTGTGTGTGTATGTGCGTGTGTGTGTAGCGAATCCGTTGATAGACCCCCGTCGGAACAAGGCCGTCGAGGGCGTGCTCTCCACCGACATCGCAATGACCAACGTATGCGCGCACACATACACACACACACACACACACACACAGCAACGCGCAGGTCTCTGTGTGTCTCTCTCGCTCTCCCTCTCAGTGTTTCGACCCGCCGCTGCTGCGGCCTCACTTTCAGGACCTCAGATTCCAAAAGACAATCGTACACACACACACACGCACACGAAACCACCAACATGAATGTCATTCCATGATGTTCTGCGTATCGATTCTCTCCCTTGTGTGTGTGCGGTTCGTTTTCAGGCACGTGACAGGAGATTTCCGAGGCCGCGCGGTGAGGCGGTCCTCCCCGTGGCTGCTGGTGCTGTGACACAGCAGCCCGGTGGGCAAGGGGGTTTCTTCGAGTCGTCTGAGTTCATGTGTGGATACACTGCTGGCAGGAGCAAGGTGGGTGCGTGGGTGGGCTGGTTGGTGAGGGATTGGGGGCTGTTGCTCTTGTCTATGCTGTCTGTCTGTCTGTCTGTCTGTCTGCTGGCTGCAGCCACTGGATCATCTGTTCCGCTTTCAGAGGCCCCTGAGGTGAGAAGAATGTCGGAACGAACACGCGCCTCCGTGCTGGGGTATGTGTGCTATCTATCCATTGGTGTGTCAGGGCCAGCGAGTCCCGCACAAAGCTCCACGTCGATCCGAGGAGGAAGAAGATGGTACACACGTCGATCAGTGAGCCAAGCCACCCTGCCGTCCGTCCGTCCGTCCGTCCGTCCGTCTGTGTGTGTGTGTGTGTGTGTGTGTGGTGCAGATGGCCTCCCGATCGGCGCGCTACCTTTGACAAAGAAGCTTCGCTATATGTGTGTGTGTCTGCGTGTCAATGAAGTGCGTGTGGTGTGTGGCTTTATCGCAATTGTCGACTGCGAATGTCTGTCTCTCTGCGAGCCACTTGCATACTTGTGTGCCCAGGTTGTGTTTGACCTGATGAATGCAGCAATGGGTACGTTGATTGATGGTGCACAGGAGAAAGCCACGAGAGCTCAACAGTGACACAGAGAGCCAGAGACACACGACACACGATACACACATACACAATGCGCGCCGCCCTACTCTAGCTAGCCACGTGTATGTTGCACGAAGGAAGTGTCGCTGACCCACTTCTCCTTGAGCTCTTTGGGCAGCGGGAGGCACACCGGCATGTCTGTGCGGTTGTCTGTGCGCTCCCATGGGAAAACCTGGCAGGTGCACCTGCTCTTGCCGTCCATCGTTGGAGCGCAAAACTGCTGGGGCTTCATGGGAAGCGCTGCATGCGCAGTGGTGGGGTCATAGACACACACACAGAGAGAGAGAGAGAGAGATCCGGACGGTGTCTGTGTTTCTGCGTCATGATGAACATTGGTCACTTTGTGTTTGGTTCGATGTGGTATTGTAGAAGGACAGCAGCTCGTTGCAATACTGCGCACACACACAGACACGCATACACACACAGACACACATACACACACTCGCTGGCCGATCCATATGGAGCCATGCCCACCCACCCACAGAACAATGGGATCTCCGTCTTTGAGTGTCATGTTGAACGGCAGGCTCAGGTTGGGGTGCAGCCCCACCGACGGGCCGTACACGCCCTGCAACGCGCTCAGGTAAAATGGGCACTCGATGCCCCCGCCAGCAGCGTCACGGCCCATCCAAGAAGAAGAAGAAGAATAATGTCTCCTCACTACTGCAATGAGAGCACCATCACATGATTGCCGTTTTGTCCGTGCTTTTCGTCTTAGACTACCATTGGAGTCCACCAGCATTCTTGCAGAGGAGGCAAACACAGCGAGAAACACTCCCAAGAGACCGCCCAGCGTCAGCACTGATTGCAAGTCCATGCCCACGGGTGGAGGAAGACCCACTGCAGTGACTTGGGGATGCAAGGGGCTCGGCTGCAACTTGCTGGCGTCTTCACAAAAGGAAGAAGGGGGCTCGGCTGTGCCCTTCTCTTTGCAAAGACGATATGGGGGGGGGGGGG